TAGATGTATGTAGGGTAAAGAAAATGTCAGGCTTTTCTGCCCTTCCGCCATCAGGATAGATGATGGATCCTTGTCCTGAATGCATGCCTGATGGCGGGCACCTGGAATAGGGTGTGGGCATAGGTAGATGGGATTCAGCTGAGCTAAGACTGCTTTTTAAGGGCGGCGTCACAGGGGGACGCCAGCAGCACTAGCAGCAGCTGCAGGAGCAGGAGCAGCAGCAGCAGCACCAGTAGCAGCAGCCGCAGTAGCAGCAGTAGAAGCCGAAGCAGAAGCCGAGAAGCAGCAGAACGAATGCCAGAGAGTCCAGATAGAGTGAAGACTTGCTGGGGGCTGGGAGGCCTGCCAACCTCCCAGCCCCCCAGCCAGCACCCCTGCCTGCCATATGCCTGGCGAACCCCAAATAAAAAACCTGCAAAACTACTGAGGACTCTGACTCCTCCTTTACCCGGTCTGCATGGGATCAGAAAACCTGCACTGTGCCCAGTCCTGCCCTTACAATTGGCGTAGTCGGCAGGATCCATGCAGACGGGTATTGGAGCCCTCCGAAGACCTGGAGGGACTAAGGAGAACAGACTGTTTGTGATGACGCTGGAGGCGCCATGGCGGCACAGAAGGTGGACAACACCCACGAGCTACAGGACGAGACCTGGCATGAAGGAGACGCCCAAAAGGACCAACGACACCGGAAAGGACCAGCCACCAACACTGGAAAGGACCAGCCAATGACCCCTGAGGCAGCAGGCCGTTGCTGACGCAGGGAGAGGCCAATGGACTTGAACTGATGGACTGATGGACTTGGACTGACAATCCCGCCAGAAGGCGGGGGACCTTGCAGGTTGATATGTTTTGGGACCCTGGGGGTGGAACAGTTTTGTTTGTAAACCCCAGGAGATGGGAATCTGGGGGTGGCCATTGGGCCTAGATGGCCAAAAGCAGCCTGTGCATGCCCAGCAGCCAGGTGGAGGAGAAAAGCCAACTAAGTAGGCAAAAGCTGGTACTGATGCTAAGTTGAGAAGCCCTAAGCGGCTGTTAAGCAGCCTGGGTATGCTGAAGAACTGTGAGTCTCGTAAAATCACCTGTGGGTGATGCCCTGCTCATTCTTGAGTGAGGGTGAGGAGTGAGGAACCTGTCCTTGGGGGACGGGTGGGGAACGTGGCTTGGGGTGGAGCCCAAGCCGAATGCAGAGTTTGGATCCCCGACCCATGTGCTTGTGCAGTGGGTTGGCTTGAGTGCAGGGGTCTGCGAGTCGCATGGGTGGCTGTGAAGGCCAAGTGTTGGAGCGACTGCAGACAGAAACCCTGAGGGTTGGCGATTACCCCCAACAGAATAAAATTGCCAATCCCAGAGCTAGTGCATCCTGGGGGTGGATGCTGTGTGTGGCTTGTAGCCGAGACTACAGCCAGAGAAGGCCAGGAAGCCTGACGGCTCCTGGCGTGTTGCAAAAGATGTCGTGAGTGATTCCCCTCCCTCATATGAGCAGTGCCTTCGGCAGCAGATTTGGTGGCTCATCTGCTGGTACCAATAATTGTCTTTTGCACTAGGTTGGTGTGCTGCCTGGACTTATTTGTGTTCTGTTGTATTTTGTTATATTTGATGTATTTGCTTTTGTGGGCCATGGCTGCATTGTTTGTTTGCTTAGAAAATTGTATATATGTATATAGACTGTATGGCAGAAAACCCTGAGGGGGTGGACTGTAGGGTAAAGAAAATGTCAGGCTTTTCTGCCCTTCCGCCATCAGGATAGATGATGGATCCTTGTCCTGAATGCATGCCTGATGGCGGGCACCTGGAATAGGGTGTGGGCATAGGTAGATGGGATTCAGCTGAGCTAAGACTGCTTTTTAAGGGCGGCGTCACGGGGGGATGCCAGCAGCACTAGCAGCAGCTGCAGGAGCAGGAGCAGCAGCAGCAGCACCAGTAGCAGCAGCCGCAGTAGCAGCAGTAGAAGCCGAAGCAGAAGCCGAGAAGCAGCAGAACGAATGCCAGAGAGTCCAGATAGAGTGAAGACTTGCTGGGGGCTGGGAGGCCTGCCAACCTCCCAGCCCCCCAGCCAGCACCCCTGCCTGCCATATGCCTGGCGAACCCCAAATAAAAAACCTGCAAAACTACTGAGGACTCTGACTCCTCCTTTACCCGGTCTGCATGGGATCAGAAAACCTGCACTGTGCCCAGTCCTGCCCTTGCAATGTAGGTTTGAAATGAAGAGTCTTTTTTGGACAATCAAATAACATGAGTAAGGACAGGTCTGAATTTTCTTTGTTTCACAATTCATTATTGATAACGTCACGTAAAGTTGTAGGTATCATCACATTTGGGAAAAATATTTAATAAATAACTTAAGGGCCTCCCTGGTGGCGCAAGGGATTAAGCAATGCGCTATGAAGCAATCTGCAGCCTCTGCAGCACAAGTTCAATCCCTAGCTGGCCAGGGAGAAACCCACATGGTGAGGCAGACCTCTCCTGTTTTGCCCGCTGCTCCCCTCAGCAGTGTGTTTCAGGCTGCCTGTTCTGTTCCCCACTCTGTCTCTGGTGAATCCTCTCATCCCCCCACACCTCTGGCCTGTACCCCAGCTCTTGTATGCATAAATAAATAAACCTTAAAAAATAAATAACCTAAAAGAATTCAGGGCACATCAGATGTTGTGCCAGCAAGGCACGGCAGGTTCTCTGACTTTTTTCAGACTTTAATGATCTATGCCCATTATTGTGGGCAACCCACAGGGAAGGGTGGGGGGACCAGAAGGTAGGCAGGCTTCGCTCCCAGCAAATCTTTACTCTTTCTCTTTGGGCTTTCTCTGGCATTCTCTTGTGGAGTTGTCCTCTTGTAGTCATTCTGCCTTAGCCTGTTCTCTGTGTGATGCCGCCCTTACAGCCTCAGCCTCCAGGCTCAGGTGTGTACATCATACCACAGGTTTCCACCATCAGGCATGCATACCCAAGTCCACACTCCCAAGTGCCTCCTGCATTAGCATGATCAAGGCCGTAGGCGATAGCCACAGAGGCTAGTGGCATAAAAGCCTGAGCAATCTTCATTTACCCTACATCAGGTTTCTTTAAGCTGATGACATTCTAATAGTTTGTTCTGGATATCCTTCATAAATTCTGACAGAAAAGAACTTCCTTTTTGTTTGGCTAAGTAAGCATTGACAATACATGAAATCTTTCATTTAAAAATTTACATATCCAATGTAGGAAGAATTTCCCACAGATCAGTTCTAGGTTGTCTAAGTTTAAACTTTCTCCTCCACTATCCATATAATTTTTGATGCTAGAACACAGGACACATTCAAATAGCTTCCAGATATCTGGCCAGCACCTTTGTTTTATAATGCTGGGTGAGTCAGCATAATGGGTGGTAGTAATATTCTTAGATGCCATTTACACTAAGACAGATGGCAATATGTTAACTATACATGGAAGTGACGGTGACTTAAATATATCCCACTAAACTCAAACCAAATGTATCCTCACTCAACTTCCCCTCAGCTAAATTTTTTAAATGCCTGTTAGCCACTCCAATACCACTAACAAGGGGAAGCATAACAGATGGGGTATTAGTGAGGAAAGAATTAGCCTGGCTGTTGCACATGGAGGGCCCCTGAAACTCAAGTTTCCTTAGCTTCATAGTAAGTCTCCCTCAGGGTCTAGAGTCATTTAATTTATAGGATTAGTTATCAATTTTCAGTCAGCTCTTTCTAGTGCCTAGAGATATGTCAATGACAGCTTCACTTGAGGAAAAGACTTTCTAAAAGGAAGAGATCTTTGTCTCTTTGTTTAGACTAGTGGGTCTCAACAAATTGGTTTCATGGCCATTTCACACTTTTGAAGTACTGAGGACTCCAAAAAGGTTGTATGTGGATCATATCTATAAACATTTACTGACATAGGCATTAAACATGTAATAGTTTATTAATTAATTTATAACAACAAAGCAGTTACATGTCAATATAAGTAACATTTAAAAAATGCAAACTAGCTGTACTTTTCAAGGCAAAAAGAATTTGGTGAGAACAGTGGTGCTGCTCTATATTACCGCACTTTAATTTCTGGCCTAATGAGAAGATTCTCATATCTGCTTCTGCATTCAGTCTGCTGCAATATCACAAGCTATGTAGTCTCTGGAAAACCCTATTGTACTTTCATTAAAGTGAAAAAGGCAAATAAGTCTTAGTGTGAAACAGTTTTGACCCTGTGGATCACTTGATCACACTTTGAGGATCACTGACTGGAACAACCAGTCTATCATTCATTGATAAAGCGTAAAGATGGGAACCCAGGATTTAAAAAGTTCCCTCTATTTCTATATATAATCAATACTTCCTAGATAAGCCAATTGTTAATTATTACCATGCTTTTTAGAATACACAAAACACTTTAGAAACAATTTTTAATGAATAATAAGTCTTAGAGAAGCCATTCTTCCCTTTTACTGACAAAGGAAAAATGGACTTCATTATTTGCTCCCTGGTAGTAAGGAATATAATGATTAAGGCAATTATTAGAATACGATGAAACACAGTATTGGTATCTTTAGGCGATAACAACATTCTAATATTATTCCAATATGTAGCAAGTCCTTTCAGGTATGTGGATTTGCTAAATGCTTTATATACATTATCTCATCATATTTAATTCTCACAATTATTCCGTCATTATTATTATTACCATTTTACAGATGAGGGTACTGAGAAACAGAGGTTAATGCTTTCAGTTAATACCGGACTGAGTCAGGAAATGAATCCAGATAATGTGTCTCTGGAGCAAGCAGTCTGTTATCTAACGATAATGGAGAAAGAAAGAAAAGTTTGTGTAAAATACCCATGGAGGTGAGAGAGGCTCGTTAGGAAAACAAAACCCCTCAGGGTCAAAATATCAGGGATGCACTGCATTATTTTCCACTTGAGTCTTCCTTAATAAAATAAATCATTAGTTTCTGCGCTTCCATGTTCCTCTTCCCATTTATAACCTAATTCATTGCGGTTGGCTTCTTCACTCACCCCTGGCGCTGACTCTCAGACTAGAGGCGCTGAACAGCCTGACAGAAACGGAGCTGGGCGGATCCCAGGTAACCACGGTAACGCTGGCGTGGCGAGAACCACGCGCAGGCGCGTTACATCTCAGGCGCTTCAACCCGGCCCTCCTCTTGGCCTCAGACCCACTGGCTTGTGGGGAGGTCGGGTGTGGGCCGCGGGTGTGGGCGGGAGGGAGGTCGCGGCTGGGCGCCTGCGCAGTCGCCGGGGCGCGGGTGTGATCGGGCTCACGTAGAGGGCTGCAGCCGCCGCCTCCCTGCGCGGCCGTGGCGGCCTAGAGGTTATAAAAGGGCTAACTGGCTCCCTCTGCTGCCCAGTCGCGCCGCCAGCGGGCTGAGGAGCGGAGTTGGTAGCCTGCCGGTGTGCGGGCGGCCGGAGTGAAGAGCCCGCCGCCCTCCCGTCCCTCAGCCCAGGTGAGCCATTTCTCCGCCCTCGGGGACTGCGGCTGAGGCCCTCGGGGGCCGTGGCCCTCCTCGGACGGCCGTAGCGACCTGGCCCCTCACTTTCTCTGGCGGGATGGCTTCGGGGCCGGGGTTTCCCCAGTTTCCCCAGCAGCCTCAGTGCCTTCTCCGGGGCCCGGGGCCCTCGCCCTGCGCCCCACGACGCCCCGCTGCCTCAGAGGCCCGGCCGCCCTCTCCTCAGAGCTCCCTTCCCCACCTCCTCGTGGGTCCCGGTCGCCGTTGGGGCTGCGGCAGCCGCTGTCCCCGCCCCGGGGACCAGAACTTTCTTGAATTTTCCTTCCCGGGGAGAAACCACCCTGTTGATCTTCCCGGGCTCCCCGCACACCTGGGCTTCCCTTTTCAGCTGCGGGGAACGCGAGGGCGGGGCTGGGTGTTCGGCCTCCGCGGCAGCAGATGGTTAGCATGTGGCCGTGGAGGGGGATTTTAAAGTTTAGAGCTGAACCCGAAGCCCTCCAGGCATTTTTGCTCTATGGAAAAGCCGTCGGGTCTGGAAAGTGGACTTCTCTGGAGAAGTTTAGTCTTAACTCATCTGTTGCGCGCAGCTGTGCTCGCCGGGGCAGCCAGACGTAGCTCGGGGCGACGTTTCTGGCTCGGGGTGGAGGAAGTCGGCTGTCAGATCACCCGGGCCGGGGAAGCTGGTCTTCTTCCTTCCCTCTGCTTTCCGTAAAAATGTTAAAGACACATGAACCTCTCCTCGCCCCCTCTCAGTAGAGTTTGCTGCTTTGAAACGTCTCAGTGAAATTAATGCCTTGGTTGTGTGGGAATTTTGAGTTGAAATACATGAAGGGCTCCTCGGGCTGTGTTAAGGGGGAGGGAGAAGGGTACCACGAGCATGAGACTCGTTCTTGGAAATAATCCAGTGTATTAAATACAATTCGGTTTTTAGGCACTCATAGCTTGTGCGTTCCTGGGAATGGAGAGGATTCTTTGAATTTTGCTGTGTTTGCATCAAGAGCGGGATGGAGAAGCAGCTGGATCTCCTTTTAGGAATTGATTTAAAAGGCCGAAAGAGGCTGGCCAATTTCAGCTTAACTGTTTCTGGTTTCTCTGAGAGCTGTGGCTCTTGGGCTTTCCTTGGAATGCGCTCTGAAGGGATGAAATAGCCGCTACGTGAGTGGGGGAGGGGGCAAGACGTGGCAGCAGTGTTCTTTCATCAACTTTTTGCTCATTTTTTAAAAGAAAGGTTCTGGGAAGAAACTTATTTGCCCTTTTGGATTTACATGTAGCTTATGAATGAGACTAGTCTTTTCCTAAAGTAATCAGATGAAATATTCAATTCACCTAACAGGGACATTGGAATTGAATTTATAAACATTTTAAAGGAATTTTTCTGATCAAATTTCAATGGAGAAAATGGATACCTTTAGCAGGAAATATTGAAAAAGCTGAAAGTGAACAACCTTGAATATGTTTTGCCTTGATTTGGAATTTAAATAAACATTCTGTGATTTTTTTTTTTTTAAACTTTGGCTTAGCCTCTGACTGTAATTTCAGAATCTTACATATGAACTTCAAATTTTACCTTTCACTGTGGGAAACATAGATTTTATCACTTAGTTTAAAGAGCAGGCCGATTTGGGTTTTGGGAAATTGTGCTTACATCCTACCAGTGTTTTAGATAGCCATTGTAAATGCTTCTTAGAGGTTTAAAATAAAATACTTAGGAAAAGGACTACTCTGTCTCTTTTTATGTGGGTAATGCTGTTTCCATTGACATCTAAAAGTAAGTTTTATTTTGAAGTATTGAAAACCAGGATCTTGGTATGAGGATAATTACATTGGCCATTTTATGTCTTGGGAACAAAAGCAATAAAATAGATGATACTTGAATATTCAGCTCAATAGTTGAGCTGGACTTGTCTGACTTGAGTTCATAAATGACCCTAATTAAGTTTTGCTAAAAGGGTATTTTTTTTTAAAGATTTATTTATGCATACAAGAACCCGGGTGTAGGAGAGAGGTGCAGGGGTGAGAGAGAGGATTCACCAGAGACAGAGTGGGGAGCAGAACAGGCAGATCTACTGAATAGTGGGCCAGGCAGAAGAGGTCTGCTGCACCAGGTGGGTTAGCTCCTTGGCTTGGGATTGAACTTGCCTAGCTTCATAGTGCTGAGAGTTAACCCATTGAGACAACAGGGAAGCCCCCTAAAAGGATTTTAGTAAAGGTTAATAGGTTGGCAGGAGAATAGTTGAATAGCTAAATTGTTTAGGCAGTCAATTATATCACACATCATCTTGGCCTTATTCACCCCCCCCCACCCCTACATATATTGTAACATATCTTTGGTTCTACTCTGAAAGTGGAAAATGCTTGAAGGTAACCAAAAATAAGTTGCACAGGTCCTTGTAATTAAACTTTATTATTCTTATAATGAGATCTTGAATCTTATAATCCAATCATAATGGAGTATATGTATGTGTATATATAAATAGATGAGAGACAAACTAAAGTGTATGTTTATTTTTGAAACTGGTTAAAGTTTGTTTCTGCTTGATGAAATTTGTGTAATTTGAAGCTGTTTTCTGTTTTCCTCTAACCAAATGGTGTGTCTCTGTAAAAATTTATGAAACTTGAAAAACTTCATGTAGGTTATTCCAGCAGTTTTTTAACTTATACAATGAGCAGCATTCATTTTTCTCATGATCAGTATGGTTACTAGTGCATGTGGTTGGATGTTGGTAAAAAATAGAATATAGAGATTTATGTTTCTTAAGTTGTCAGTATATGAATATTATATTGGACTTCTTTTTCCTGCTTAGTGCTTTATATAGATGTGTCCGTATTTTGATATTTTACCTATTTTTCATTTAAATGGTAAATAGCAGTATTACATCAAATTAATATACTCAGCCTTTCTTCTTGTTGGACTTTTGAGCTGTTTCTCTGTTATGAGTACTTCATAGTGAAGGCTGTAATTTAGTGGTTTATTTTATCCACATGTATAACTCTAGTAAAGTTTTACTGGTTGTCTTTCTGTTTGCATTTTAAAGAAAAAAACTGTGGTGATAAAACCTATGGTAGTAATTTTTTCTCACCCCTCGAAGAATTTTTTTAAGGGGCTTGGACTGAGCTCTAAATAATTTTTTATCTACCCGATAATAACTAAGTCACTTCATATATTTTTGTTTCTTACATTACATACATTGTTCCTTAAAATAATTCTGTGTGGTAGTTTATGCCGCCATTTTAAAAATGAAACTGAGGTTCAGGGAAGTAATTTGCCCAAGAATATAGTAAGTGGACTTGCATATTTTCTCATTCACCTTTCATCTTACTTTGCCCTTGATAACTATGAGACTGACTCTGAGGAAATGAACAGGGGGAAAAAAAGCTTTGAGGTCCAGTCATATTTTAACTCAACTCTTAATTGCACATTACCAATTAATTCCACAGTAGTTATGTATTAGTGTTTTCAACATCTAGCTGAAATAAAATAGGGTTCCTATTTAATAGTAATTAACCTAGTAATTATTCCACTCATTTTTTTAAAAAATGATTTATTTATGATTTTATAAATAAATATAAATAAAATGATTTATTTATGCATACAAGAGCTGGGGTGCAGGCCAGAGGTGTGGGGTGGGGGCAGGGGGAGGTGAGAGGATTCATCAGAGACAGAGTGGGGAACAGAATAGGCAGATTGACTGAAATACACTGCTGAGGGGAGCAGCAGGCGAGACAGGAGAGGTCTGCTGTGCCATGTGGGTTAGCTCCCTAGCTGGGCATTGAACTTGTGCTGCAGTGGCTGTGGATAGCTTCATAATACTGAGACAACCCCTTGTGCCACCTGGGAGGCCCATCATTCCACTCAATTTAATGACCAGTTTAAAAAGCATTTATACTATGCCCAGTAGACTATGGGAGAATCAAAAGAGTGATAAATACTTCATAGGAGAAATAAGCCATAAGTTACATGGTATGCCAGCATGTTACTAACATTTTACTTTTTACTAAGCCTGAATAAGTGCTGAATGGAAACTAGTATTTAGATTCACATTTCTGCAAACATGAATTTTCCCCTAGTCTCCAGTATATGTGGTTTTATTTTGTATAATTTTATTTTGTATATATATTTCCTTAGCTTCAGAACTTTGGATTTGGCATTAAAGACAAGAGGAAATTGAAGCCTAGCAAAAGAAGAGGGAGAATAGGGTAAAGAAATTCTGTAGCATAGCCTTGAGAGGGATAGAGTTAAGGTAAAATATGACTGGACCTCAAAGCTTTAATCCATCCATTAGGAGAAGAGGGTCTGCCAAGAGTCAGTTTGAGATATTTTACTCAACTTACGTGCCTTGGTCTGAATCTACAGTAGTAATAGATTAAAAGTATATAACCTCTTTTGCAATAGGAATGGTATTTTAAGAAATGGTATTTTAAGAACCCACTCTCAGCAGGGTGGTTAGTTAAACAAAAGTTAGTTTCTCTAGATGTTTTTCCATTTCTGGTATTAAAGTTACTTTGATTTTTGAATTACAGTAAAATGCAAGAAGTAGTCAACAATTATGCAGTAAAAGGCATTGAACATTAATATGAAACATCAAATAGAAGAATACTATCTCCTGTTATTTATGTCTACAGCAATGACAGAATTGGACTCTAAGCATGGTGTTAAAATTTTGAGAAAAGGTGCTTTTGAACGTTTTTTTGGGAATAAGGAATATAACTTGCAAAGTCAGT